TTTAACATGTTTTCGCAGGTATATGGTATTTTCATTTGCAATATCAAAACAAGAAGATATACATGTATAAAGCTGACATTTTATCAGTTATATTTGTATTGAATTTAGAAATGTATTTATAGATCTTTTACTTTTAGATCTCGAGACATGTTTCTTAAAATTGTTTTTCTTTTACATATATAAATGTATGATGTAACCCGGCTGCACTTCTACTTAAATAAATTTCTCGTCTGGTATTGCATTAACTAGTTTAGTTTTGTATTTGAAACCTCATTAGTCAAGAAAAGACTAAATCGTTATCGCTCATGTATCGTATGACAAGTCGGTCAAATTTAGACGCCTTTTTAACTCGACTATTGAAAGAATACGGTCGGAAAAATATTCATCTCTTGTCGGCATCTATCGACGTTCAAATGCAAATTATGGCCACGAAATGTTTTTAAAATTGTATCCTTTTTTTTGCTTTAATTCTAAAAGATTTTTTAAACCTTGAATAGATCTATATATTCCTTACTTTACCCATATTTCCAGGATAATACAAAAACATTTTTACTTGAAAACGGTAACGTGAAACAATGTAAGGTCTTTATTTCTATTCATAAATACTTAACACGTGAATCATTTCTGTCTTAATAATCACACACATCGGTTTATAATTCGAGCATCACTTTTAAAAAAAATATTTCATTAAATACACAGACATTTTAAGAAAAAAATGAAAAAATAAAAATGCGCCGTTCAACCAAATTGAATTTGTAAATGATTACTAATAAATGTTTGTTTTTTAATATAAAACTGTCGGTTTACTAGAGGGATTAAATTTCATCGATTTACAACCCTAAACGTATCTATTTTTTTCGATTATTGCGTGATGTAAAAATATTGTTATTCTTATCAGCCATAAGTTTGGAGGAAATATTAAATAAAACAAATGTTGATGCTGCACATCAGAGACGGCGCCAAAGGATATGAACAGTCACATGCAATCTTGAAAATCGTTCTCTATTACAGTTGAATATCGGAAGCACTCCATGTTCTTGATATGTGCTCGTTGTTTAATAATTAAAGGTACTCCACTGAGGTATGGTCGAATGTCACAAAAAAAGTAAAATTTCACGAACCGATAATTTTTTGTTACCTGCGTGTTAGGGACATTAATACAGAATCAGTGATACATTGATATGTCTTCTTTGGCTTGGCAATTCGTTTGAAACATAAGTTATCTCCAATTTCGTGAGAAAAACTTTTAAACGCCTTTCAGGGAGAGGAACTATATAAGTTTTCTTTCGTTCTAATCCCTTTCAATTTATGTAACAATTATAAAATGTAATATATGTAAAATATTGAAATAAATATGTTTAAACTAAACGCCTTTCAGTTGTAAACAACGGTCACGTGACGAGTTTCGGGAGGACTAAACAGCGAAACGGAGAATTTTTTGTGTATCGGCAGCAACGAAAGTACGAAAGTGAAACATACCAACAATGCATACATTTTAGAGCAAATTTTTTTGGTTTGTTTGTTAAATTTCTTGTTGTGCACATATGTTCTTGTTAATAATATCATTCAAAAGCAATTTCAATATATTTAAAGCATTATATTCTTGTAATAATGATTTTTACTCCGTTACAATGATGAATTTAGCTAAACGTACGGAGTTTAAAACTGGCATACACAAACTTTACAAATATTCTATATTAAATTAAGTGCTTTCGTGTAATTAATAAATATTATGTATTAACTTTGTTATGGTTAAAATATCAAGATATATAGGCTAAGAAAATTTCTTTTATCAAGACCGTGTGATGGGTCCTATTTCAAAGGTCACTTATTTAGGTTTATCTGACACCCGTTCAGAAAAAAACACCGTAATACCGTTTATACTAGTCAACGAACAAGAAAGCATCAAAAATCACACCACACACACAATTTCATTCTCGTTTCCTCTTAACTCGGATCAAAGTACTGAAAGCACTGGCTTCATGCCACATTATAGGACAATTAGGCGTCAACTTTATCAGTAAGTAATTTGTATGTATGTTTAGTGCATATAATTAAAATTTTACAAGAAAAAAAATCGATGTCCTTTGCTAAATAGATCTGAAATTTTATTTTTATCATTTTACACACATACTTGCATATTTATCCGGATTGGATGTAAACTTTCTTGATATGAAGATTACTATCTATCATTAACATTACTATTATCATTATTGATTGTATGCTTGAGCAGATATCTTGATAAATGTCTTTATTATTGGAAGGCCTCCCTACTAGTGATGGGTCAATTGATCTCTGCTTTAATGTAATCAATATATTGAAGCTTCCCGGTGGAAAAGAAATTGAGAGCGGTGTAAGGGTAAAAAATTGAAAACTGGAATAAAGATGAACAAGGCGACAGCAACGTTCACAGGACGCAGCCCCCGACACACTCAAGCTGCCATATCAGGGTTATTGCCATTACTAGTGAAATAAACTTAAAACTGATTATATAGTAACTGTTGTTGTTTTTTTAAACCCTAACTTTATTTCAAATTAAACGAAACGAACAAAATTATGATACTTGCAAGACAAAAGGACAGGTAAGTAAAAGTAACTTTTAGAATTCAGTAAGATATTAACCTCACCTAATACAACAATTATTGTTTAAACTATGTTTTAAAATACTTCCAACTCCTAGACGGTAAATAAACTTGTTAAGACACGAGTGACTGGTTTCAAAAAATGCAAAGGATAAATATTGATCGGGTGCATTTGATTACATAAATAAGTTAGGAAGATAACCCTACTTTTCCTGTCTTATAGCACTGAAATCTTTACCTTTCTCGTCTTTTTAACCCTACTTTTATCTCCTCTTTCTTTCTGTTTTTCTTTTTCTTTTGTTTTGTCTTTTTATTTTCCACTTGAAAGCTTGAAATTAAAGTTTTCATTGATAACTTAGCTGTGGCCCTGTGTTGCTTGGTCATGTGGGTGTTGCGTTCATTGAATGCTACCATTCCTTGTTGATCTTGTTCTTCGTATGTATGCTCTGGAGATTAGGTGGGTGGTACTCGTAATACTAAGATTTATGAGATAGTGTATCAAAAGCCTTTGTAAATTGTTTCGAAAATACTGGATATCGTTTTGAATAGAGCTACTCTAGTATTTTCAAAAGCAAAAGTCTCAATAAGCAAAGGTATACTGATATTTAGACGTAAAACCTGACATATAGAATTCATTTACCTGTGAAACTGGAGTGACAATGTGTTACTTAAAGTTGCTAGTGTATCTTTTTTCAGTGCCTTCAGTACTTTGATCTAATATGTAGACCAACTAAACTGTATCATTTTCACCGAAAAATCCTTAAATTCTAAACAAGTTTCTAATATAGAATCAAAAACATTTATTGTATCATAGTTTTTGAACCTTTCTGTTGAAAACGTGTCTTCACATACATGCACAGTGCGGTAACTGAAGTGCAGGTATTAGTTACCCGCACTCCAGAGCATGCCCATTGATTGACTCATTTTTTCTGGGGTTTACTTTTTGTGACGACAGGAATAACGATAGAAATGCCACATTCAGAAGCTGGTTCATTGGTTACCTTTTTCTGGGATTTCATATTGTTACAACAGGGAACGTGTATTTAATTTTGCTTATGATACAAAAGAAAAAGAACATCAAGACACTCGGCAATCTGATTTATACTCGGGGCCTACGCCCCCCTCGTACAAATCAGATAGGCTCATGTTTCGATGCTCTTTCTATTACATAACATACATAATGACAGAAGTAAACTTGAATTTGATGTAATGTTCAGAAATGAGTGTGTGTGGAACGTGTATGTACGATCCTATCAAGATAGCCTACGAAACGTCACTCATTACATACTCAGATGCCCGTTTGTGCCAGAAACAATTTTGCAAAGGGGGCACCTGAGTTCTTTCTCCACCAGTAAAGCTGAAGAGTCGCAATAATGACCTACACGGTTTTTGTGCGATGTAACCCCACCCCACCCAAAAAACAGAAAATCAAATGAGAAATGCTTTTAAATTCATCATTTCTTACAGGATGGAATGTTATTAACTGTATTTGATTTAAATACGTAATAGATAGCGTTAAACACATGCCATTACAAATTACATTATAAATATCACCGATGCACTATGTTCGTCTTCATCCAATTCTTCAAAATATTGAAATTGACACTTTTCAGTATACATCAAACAAACTTCTCAGTTAACAGATATTTTTACTTTTGGTTGAATATAGGTATAAATAAACTTATGTACAGTATTTTAAAAATGTGAGTTGTCCTGGTTGCCTTCCCTTCGTCAACGAAGACTAAATGCTAGCATACAGAGCAACATATTAATTTTTGCGACAATTTAAGGCGGTGCCGTACTTCAACAGAGGCGGAGCAAATGAAGGGACTGACACCGCGTCAGTTGATATCTTTCTCAACCGTTAGGTTCGACTATAGACTGGATCATTGGCACGTTATTTATTAAATAAATGAAATTAGATATTGATAAAAAGAATATGATATTCAAACATAGCACTATCACTTAAGTTAAACGTTTATTTTAATCCTTTAAAGCTCAGTGACATGTTGTACATCAGAAAAGCTATTTTTATTAGAAAATTTGAAAACAGTGTGATGTTGTTAAAACAACAACAAAAAAAATACATAAAAACAAGTCTAAAAATTTACCCATTGCTAAATAGGCGAATGCATATCTACTAGACGCCGCGCGCACGCAGCGTCTAATAAAAATAGACAAATAATAAAAAGTATAAACATTCATACATGTTAAAAATCTATAATAGTATCATAATCACGTTTCTCAAAATGCACTACCGAGTTGCTTTCTAGTCCCTCGAGAAAATTCATTAAGTCAATTCCTATATGTATATAATAATAAATTTATATAATGGAATAGGAACCTCCTGTGGTCGTGTCACTATGGTTAACCAGATAAATATTTTATATTGGTAGAAATACTAATTGTAATACATACCCAAATCGCCATTGTTAATCACGATGTTTCTCTGTCATTTTACACGTCTGTCCTTTGTTGATAAGAGGAATATCATCATTTATATCTTTTATATCCCAATGTAATATAAAGAGACCATTATATCCCAATGTAATATAAAGAGATCAAACACGTTAATATATGTAAAATAAAATATGCGTATAGAAATGTATCTAAATGACTTTGTAATGTAAACATATCATTGTATGGTCAATAGACCGTTTTCACGAGTAAGCGAAATTTACGTCCTACTCAATCAAGTAGAAAGTAGGACACTTCGCTTTAGAAATAGAATATTATTAACTTCTCCGTCCGTGACTAATGTGTACAGAAGTTTAACTCATATTGAAAGTATTCTAAAACAAGAAGAATCTTTCAAAAAGATACTCGGCCGAAGTAATACTGGTTAAAATGCAAAATTGTTATTATTAAGTTTTCAATATATGTTATGCTTGCATAACAATGACATAATAATTATTTCTTGTAGCTAAGACAATGCCGATTTTGTAAACATTGTACAAATGTAATTGAATTAAAGCATATTGATATTGATGATTTTTCAAAAAAGGGCAACTTCTATTTTATGTGTTATAAATTATGTAATTATTTACATATTAACTTAAAGTTAAAGAACTATCCTCATTCCTGTACTTTTTATTTTAGAAGTATCCTATACATTTTCTTTTAATATAGAGGCAAAAGCTATCCCTTACATTTCATTTTAGAGCTATCCTTATAATTTAATTTTAGGATTGTAAGAACTATCCTGTACATTTTATTTAAGGGTTACCAATGAGCTCGAGTTCACCGATTTCAGTCTGAAATTCTAAAATGACAAATGGAAATTCATTTGATATTCAAGCCTTCCCTGTTAATTTCGTACAAAAAAGATACTCTGCCAAATATTTGACTGGTGAACATGCAAAGAAATGTATTAAAGCAATGTTTGCATAGCAATGACATAATTATTATTTCTTGCAGCTTACAAAAAAAATCTGTCTGAAAGATTTTGACCTAATGGATCGATTGCTAAACAATGAAAAACACCTTGCTAAAACAAGAGTAAGTAGAGCTATTTCTTTATCAGTTTATATATAAGCTTTTTTTATATTTTATTTTAGCAACAACATAGATCACAGTTACATAATAAGATATATATATATATATATATATAAATGTATGTGAAATAAATGCTGCTGAAGAAGGCCGCAAGGCCGAAAGCTACGGCAAATTTAAATTAGCGTTTTTGCTTATAAATAAATATATATAAAATAACAGTTTATCCAAATTAAAATATCATTTCATATTAATAATAAATAAAACAAATTTAGTTAATGTATTTAAAAAAAGAAGCAAATGAACAAATTAATAAAATCACAGGTTAAGACTACAATAGTCAGAATTATAATTATCACAGAATATTGTTTAAAGTTACTGATAAACATGATATAAAAGAAATAAAAGAATTTCAATAAAATTTCAATACAAAGGGTTTGTTAAATAGTGATCTATGGTTACAAGGATAGCCCATTAAGCTGGTGTGCTTATTTCCAATGGGGTCCTGTTAACCAAATAGATGGAAACAAGATGAAACCAGAGAGACATTCATTCCTCAAATAAAAATAGACAATGAGATAACCTTCAAATCCACAGAGAAAAAAGATCGAATGCCCGCACATTTGTCATCTGCAGTGAAAACAATTAACCTGAGAGTAAATTTTTTCATGTACCACATGACCCTGTAATTAATGGCCATTTCTACAGCTCTGTTCTGTTCTATTATGATGCTTGATAAAATGTTGTCAATAAAGTACGTGGTCTGAGTCAAACTTCTTACAGTGATTACCTTATTTGGCAGACTTCACAGACGTCACGTGATGATGACAGTCACATGAAGTAACGTCGAAATTCAAATGTAAATATCGACCGTTACATAGAAAATCTAACGTCACTTTTCTCTGTCTGTTTTATTTTTAACTTTTCGTACCTACATTCGTTAAAGTTTATCAACAAAATATCAAAAGCATACAAAATAATAAAAAGATGAATTTAAAAGCTAAAACATATAAAATATCAAAAAATTGATAAAATGTTTGTGATGGCAGAGATGTCTGTATTGGTAAAGGGGCATCATTGTTTAGGAAATTAGTCAAAAACTTCACTGTAGGATGACAAATGTGAGGGATTTCCGGTTTTTCCTGTGACGTCAAGAAAAACGTCGGCGCCAGAAATAAGCAGAGAATCATGATTAATTTCTACATAGGTTCGCGATTTAAAAAGGCTATCGCTGGTATTCGATGCATTTGTGAATTGTTTATCGATTTAGCCCGATAGATTATTTTGATCCTTGTTGATTTGTCCGAGGTAAATTATGTCGGGGAGGGGAAAGGCGTTTCATTCCTTGCGTTTATATATAGTATACGATAGAGGGTATTATTTGGATATTATCGTTAATATTAGTTATTTGATAGAATTTTAAGTTCCTGTGGTTTAAGATACCTAAATAATGTCATCAATGTAATGTAACATGAGAGACCAGTTAACATTTTTACTTTATTGTCATTTCCCTCAAAATTTTCCTCATTAAACGGACACATGTTGTCACTTTTTCCTTTAATTCAATGTTCTCTGTTCTAAACCGCTGTATTTCAAATGTTATATACAAATGTATGTTATATCACTGCCACGTATCTCTGTCTGACAACATATTCCCCTTGTGTTATAAGCAGATCCTTTAGTATTGCATAGCTCACTGAACTAATCTGTACAGTCCTACGCATTAACCCTTTCAGCCTGCTGAATCTCAGTAAGGGCTTATCAGCTAGTAAATCACTATTAACTGTATATCTCCCATACACACGTCCACTGAGTTGAAAGTTTGGTCATTCTTAATTTGCCCTCTGTATTATTAACTAATGGCTCTTACTTACTTTGAAGGATCAGGTTTCGGTAGATGTTGTTTTTCATAAGATACACTGTTTTTTCTTCCTCCAATCTTTTGCGAATAGGTATACAGCCAAATTGAATTATTAAACTTAGCAATTATTTGTAAATATACTTTTTATCACAAGATAAATTTTAGCTACCAAATGAATTTTATGTTTGGACATACCTTTAGAAGTTTTAATCATCTAAATAAATACAGTGCCAAAGTTAAGTGTCACATGAGTGTTACCCCCCATAACATATGTTAATTTTTTTACTGCAAAGTGCAAGACTCTTAACTAACTAGATGGAAGTCAAAATATTACTATGTTTACATTTTGCTACCTTTTTACATTTTTTTTCACATTCAGCACTTTTTCTACCAAATTAAGTGATAAGCATCAATAATGCCTTGAATCCATTATTACAAAACATTATTTCGCTTCTTCTCAAAAAGAAAAAAGGAAAATTAATTACTGTTTGTTCCTTTGTTTGTTTCATTTTACGCCTTTTTCCAACAGTATTTCAGTCATATAGGCGGGTAGTTTCCTAACCATCGTTCCTGGAGAGTTACACCAGTACTAGACTACCTTCCTCCGCGCTAAACTATCAAAGCATCTCCCGGGGATCGAACCCACGCCAGAGAGGTAACTGGATTAGAAGTCATCGACTCTAACCCCTCGACCACGGAGAGGCATGATATGCCTTTCATATGAAAGTCTTTCCTTACATGTATCACCAGCTTTTAAACTATACATTCTTGAAACATGATAGGATCATAAAACATTCAAGGGTGCTGCTATCAGTGATACCGTGACAAGTCATGCTATTAAAATTAAATGCTAATCACAGGCCAGAGACAGGAAAATTTTGAGGAAAACTGGAAAACTTGGGTTAATGCGTAGGACTGTGTACGGTGTTCCGTTTGGACAATAGTGATTTTTTTATTTCGTCCTTACCCGCGATGCACGATGGTACGATGGTGAAAACGCAATGGAACGATGGTACGATGATGAAAACACGATGGTACGATGGTGACAACACGATGGTACGATGGTGAAATCGCGATGTCGTGGTGGTACGATGGTAAAAACGCGATGATATATCGCGTTTTCACCATCGTGCCATCGCGTTTTCACCATCATACTATAATGCCATCGTGTTTTCACCATCATACCGTCGTGTTTTTCCCATCGTACCATCGCGATTTCACCATCGTACCATCGCGCTTTCACCATCGTACCATCGCGTTTTCACCATCGTATCATCGCGCTTTCACCATCGTACCATCGCGTTTTCATCATCGTGCCATCGCATTTTCACCATCGTACCATCGCGTTATCACCATCGTGCCATCGCGTTATCACCATCGTGCCATCGCGTTTTCACCATCGTACCATCGCGTTTTCACCATCGTGCCATCGTACCATCGCACTGTACATTTTTCATTTATGTCATTTTCAAAGACTTTTTAATATGCTCATATCGGCTTAATACATGTTTGCATTTTTATTGCTGAATTTAAGATACCAACTTGAAACTTCATATGTACAGTGCACAAGAATGACACTTTTATTTTTTATTTATTTTTAAGCGACTGCCTTTTGTTATCAAATAATGGGAAGGCAATCATTTTTGATAAAAATGTATTATTGTGCATATCCACCGGAAGGCGATGACACGATGGTGAAAACGCGATGGTACGATGGTGAAATCGCAATGGTACGATCGTGAAAGCGCGATGGTACGATGGTGAAACCGCGATGGTACGATGGTGAAAACACGATGGCGCGATGGTGAAAACGCGTTGGCACGATGGTGAAAACCCATTGACACGATGGTGAAAACGCGATGGTACGATGGTGAAAACGCGATGGTACGATGGTGAAAGCGCGATAGCGCGATGGTACGTGATACGATGGTGAAACCGCGATGGTACGATGGTGAAATCCCGATGGTACGATGGTTTTCACCATCATACTATCGAGCAATCGTGATTTCACCATCGTACCATCGCTTTTTCATCATCGTACCATCGTGTTTTCACCATTATACCATCGTATCATCGCGTTTTCACCATCGTATCATCGTGCATCGCGGGTACAAACAAAATAAAAAATCACGATTGTCCAAACGGAACACCGTAGATCTGACAGGCAAAGCAGTGTAAGTGAAACATCTTCTTATCCTGCATTCATTACATCTGGTGTAGTCATTTCCCTGTTGGTTTACTTCCCATATTCACTATTGGAGCCAAGTTCATAGAGATCAACTCTTTTGCAATGGAATAATCAGAAGCTCAAAAACACCAGATATTTGTGCATTTGCACT